TGAGGACCTCTTCCCATGGGCTAGAAGGGAGAAAATGATGAGGCTTTCTCCCTCCCTACTCCTCTCTGCCAGACCCCTAGCATGCAGCCCCGATGCACAGAGCCAAAGGGTCTGCCCCAGGAAACAAACTAGAGAAACCAGACTGAAGCCAGGCCCAAGACCCTGCATGGAAGCCCCCTGTGGGGGCTCAGTCTCCAAGCTGAGGTAGGACAGGGGAATGAGGCCCAATCGGTGTTGGACCCAAGAACCAGCACCTTATCCCATGCGTGACCCCCAGTGCCTCCCCTCACCATGCAGGGTAGAGACTGAGAAGCCTGCAGTCCCCTCGTCCATGTTGCTAAAGGCACAGAAGCCAGGGGACTGGCCACGCACAGGAAAGCCTGGAGAAAGGACAAGGAGTAGGGCGGGGAAAAGCTACAATCCTGGGTGGATGCCCATGAAGGACAGGCCAATGCCCACCCACTCACTGCACCCCAGAAAAAGGGCCACATTCGGTTTCTGACATGCCCACATCTACTCTTCCTAGGCAGTCTCTCTGCAGAAGACAATATTGTCCCTAGTGATGAGATGAGAAATCAAGATTGAGCAGATACCTCAGAAATCTCCATGAAGACAGGGGCTCTTTCCTTCACCTGTGTGTCCTGAGCTTAGCCTAGCACTGTGCCAGGCACACAGTAGGTGTTTCTTGAATGAACAAGTGAAAAGCAATTGTAGAATGCCTCTGTGAGTTCCACAACAGGAAAAATTATGATGTATTCACCTGCTTGGTTGAGCCATAGCATTCATGAATAAATGTGTGAATAAATGAAAATAATGATCGCTAACATTTATTTAAGTGCTTATTACATGCCAAGCATTGTTCTGAGCAATTTTGGATTAACACGTTTACTTCTCCCCGCTGCTTCCCTTTCCTACTTCCCTCCTTTCTATCCATCAAATATCTACTAAGCTTCTTTATTCCCCATGCTAATAATAGGGGTTCAAAGAAATGAGCAGGGTATGGAAAGGACCTGCGAGTATGAGGTATATGCTATTGTTAGTTCCATTTTACAGATGAGGAAACTGAGGCTCAGAAAGTTAAGTAACTTGCTAAATGTCACACAGTAAGAAGGACGCATACATGGCATTAGAACCCACAATCAGGCTCCTGGTCCTATCTTATGCGTGAATAAGGTTGAAAGGATGCTTATCAATGACTCCATGATAAGTGGTGAAACGCTCCATGCTTTTCAGCCTGGCCAGCATCTATCCCTGCATTCTGTAAACCAGCCCTGTCTTCCTTGAGCAAACACTCCCCCACTGCTATGTGATTCAGGTACTTCAAGCCTGGCCATGTAGCACTGCACCCTCCAGCCACAGTGATTGGCTTAAGGATGGATACATGACCAATCCAGGCCAATCACAGTGAATCCTGAGATCTCATTACACTACAGGAAAGAGATGCTCTACCTCAGCAAGGTGGCTATGAGCTTGGAGGCACTGGGGGAAGGGGGATTAACTTGCCCTCTTTTAGGAAGAGCCTGTCAGAGAATGAAGCCAACAAAAATGAAAGCAGAGACAAGAACACCAGACAGATGAACTCCTAAGGATCCAGCCAGGCCTGAAGGTTTATCCTTATGCCAGTTTGAGATGCGTCTCCATTCCCTGAAACTGATAGATGCCTGCCCAATGCCATCACTGCTCAGTTCAACATCCTCCTTTTATAATGAAAGCTCGGGAACAGGTCAGTAACTTAGTCAGCTTCACAGTCAGTGTCAAAGCCAAGGCCAGAGCCAAGTCTCACGAAAACTCCTCTGCAGGTGCAACACTCCTCTCTCAATATTTGTCCAAGGGTCTCCCCATGCCCTGCTCATTGTTATGGAACCCCTATTATTAGCATAGGGAATAAGGATGCTTAATAGATATTTGATGAAGGGAAAGGAGGAAGTAGGAAGGGGGAACAGACGGGAGAGAGGTGGGGACTGAATTCCTGGAGATCAAAACCTGTTCTGATTCAGCTTGCTATCACCAAGTGCCCAGCACAGTGGCCTGGCACACAGAGCCCTCTCTAAAAATAATCAGATGTGTGGCGGACTGAGTGCACAGAGCAAAGCATGAGTCTTCACCATGCCAAACGATACAGAGGGAGTCCCATTAACTCCCCCAGTTGCTAGGGGCACTTGCAGTAGAACTGGATTTGTAAAACTAACTACACACATTATTTTGTGCCTTTAGCCCTGAATCCCTTTTTGACCACATGGTAAAAGCATCCTACCTCTGCTCGTCTGAAAGCAGGGATCAGGAATCACACACCCCCACCCCGTGCTGAGCTACCTTCAGGGGATACCTTTTCTTTCCCATTGATTATACCCCCAGACTTCTAAGGGTCAAATATCCTACGCCTTCCTCTCTTGCAACAGACACACCACATATAGAATTCCACTGGCCTCCAAGGGAAAGGAACGGAGGCCCTGCCCTCCTCCATCCAGGTAGGGCTCTGATGGCCCCTGGCCAGGGCAGGCACCCCCCGGCCACAGTGAGGGTGGAGTATTACTCCTAACGGCATCTTGAGGAAGTCTTGGGAAATACTTGTCAGCATTTCGAACACACAAAACAGGGTCTGGTTTCATGTGAAGAAATGTGTCTCTGCAAGTAAAGGAAACCAGGCAAAATATGACCAAGCCTCACAAACACTTGTCCACCTAGTGAAGACGTGAGAGTGTGACCCTCAGAGCCTCTGGCTCACACACCCATACCCCACTCACCCCGAGACCCACAGCCAGTCCCTTCCTGCCCTGGGCTTCTGTTCCCCAGTTCTATACCGAGCAGCTCAGGTGAAGGATCCCTCAGCAACCTTACAGGTTTTTGTTTTTTAAGACATAGTCTCACTCTGTTGCCCAGGCCAGAGTACAGTGGCGCAATCTCAGCTCACTGCAGCCCCTGCCTCCTGGGTTCAAGTGATTCTTGTGCCTCAGCCTCCTGAGTAGCTGGAATTATAGGTTTGCGACATCACACCCGGCTAATTTTTGTATTTTTAGTAGAGACAGAGTTTTGCCATGTTGGCCAGGCTGGTCTCCACCTCCTGACCTCAGGTGATCCACCCACTTTGGCCTCCCAAAGTGCTGAGATTACAGGTGTGAGCCACCTTGCTGGGCCCCTTACAGGTTTTTATTTGTTTGTTCATAAAGCAAAAAGAGTACTGGCTCTGGAGCCTGGAGAGTGTGGACTGGAATCCAGACTAGACAATTTAGTACAAGAAAGACAACAGCTACTATTGAGTGCTTGCTCTATGCCAGGCACACTCCAAACTTTTGCACACATTATTCCAATGCATCCTCCCTGCACCCCTGAGGTTGGTACTATTATTATCCCCATTTTATAGATGAGGAAACTGAAGCACAGAGACATTCAGGAAATTCACAAAGTCTGCAAGTGCTGGAGCCAGCCGTGTGATCTCAGGCAGGTATACTCAACTTCTTTGACCCCAGTGGGGATTCATCTGAACAATGGGAACCCATGCCCAACTCTCACTGTTATTCTGGAAACCCACAAAGGGGGGAATGAAGGGAGAAGAGCCAGGCACAGAGCCCTGGAACTGTTCTTTTCCTTCCTGTCGTCTCCCTTGAATGAGAGGTCCTCATGCCTGCTCCTCAGCCTCACTAAGCAGGTAGAAAAGTCATTGAGATGGTGTGGGGGGGTGGAGGGAGCACGCTCAGAATTCAGTGACATGCATCCTCATACATGAGATATTACTATTATTATTATTATTATTGTTATTATTGATATGAAAGGCTAGAAGGCTCTGATTTAAGTCATTGGGCCACACTGAGCTCTAGCTCCAAACAAAGAAAGTGAAACCAGGCTGCCATTGAAGGACCTCATACCAGGGGCTCCCCATGGCGCCAGATTCCAAAAATCTGGCTTCATCAGCCCTGCTCTCAAGGTGTTTTTCTACCTCCAGTGGCTTTGGGAGAAGGAGGCCCAGGCCCGCCTGGCCTGGCTAGCCTCTCCCCTAGCCCCTTTGAAGTGCCCAGCATGGGGTGGGCTGGAAGGAAACCCTGGGCTACAGAGGCTGTGACGGCACCTACCCACCCCCACCCAGCCACCTCCCACTCATTGTACAGCCTGACTGGGCCTTTGTTGCCAGAATCCTGGCAGGGGACAGCCAGGGACCTGGCCTCATTAAGTGCCTGACCTCAAGCAAGCCCCCCCACCCAGGGTGGAAGGTTAATGTGGCTGCCCGCCATGCAGGCCTGGGCCTCCGGGAGGCTCCTCCAAGGGACAAAGGACCAGCCCCCTGTCTCCTCTCCAGGCCCCAAAACAGCTGCCAGCCTGCAGAGCCCTTTCAGGAGGGGGGCTGGCTTTGATGGCTCAGAAGTCACCAGGGGGGCCTCCTTTCCAAACCCTCCTTCCTCCCACCCTGTCAAGGAGACAAAGCTCACAGGGAACCGCTGGAGGGCTGACACAGGAATGTAGTCCATCGTGGGGGAGGAGGCTGGCTGGTGAGGGGCTGGCCCACACCTTCCCTCGACCTTCCAGAATTCCCCAGGGCTCAGGACCTTGCTTCCAAACAAGGCTCATTTCAGCCTCTCACCAAGGTGGGATGGAGTAGACAGGTCAGAATAAGTCAGAAGCCTCTAAGTCCCTGCCCCACCGGATCTCTCTGTCTCCTGGTTTCTGGGTACAGAACAGATGTCACTTAGCCAGAGATGGGCTGGGAGCAGAGCAGCTCCCAGAAAGAGAGACAGCCAGGAATTCTGTGCAAGGGACAAGCTCATGATGTTTTTTAAAAGTCCCTCTGGCTTATCACGTCTCCTTCCAACAGGAGGGCTCACTCCAAAATGCTAATTACCTCCTAAGTAGGCTCCCAGAGTTCAGGCCGAGCACCAGGTAGAACCACCTAAAAGGCCTCCTAATCACTTCCTTCATACAACTTCAGTTATTTGGAGGCCTGCATCTCGCACACCGGACTGACACGCAGTTTTACAGCGTACTCATTTTAATTTCAAAAGGCTCTGGGGAAATTTTTTAGAGTGTTTTATTTGCTTAAGATCCTGGAGCCAACACAGGGGCTCCCTGGGGCATGACTGGACTGGCCCAGGAAGCAGCACCCCCGGCCATGCAGTGGGATGGGCGGGAGTGCTGGAGTTCTGTGTTCACGCGAGTTTCTGCAAGCAGGTGTGTCCCAGCGTGTGCACGTTGTCGGTGACTCAACAAAAGCCCGGCTGAAAGCCTCACCTACAGTGTAGGCAGGCGGCATGAGCCTGCAGCGACTCGAATCAGCCTGGTTAGCCCATTGTCCGGTAGCAATGCCTTTCAAGGGACAAAAGGCAGAGGGGACAGGAGGACGCACAGGAAGAGGTGGGCACATCGGTCTGTGGCATGAACCGCTGTCCCATTACACCGCCTCCCCCCAAAGCAGCATCTGGCGGGGGCACACGTGTGTGTGCAGGGACTGGCCTGACTCCACACTGTCCTGCCCAGCCAGGAGACACAGAATGCGGCACTCTTACAAAGACATCGATTTTCCTCCTTCCCTTCCAGAGCAAGATCAGATGAGCTCCCGGAGTGACACATCCTTAACTTTTCAGTGGGGTCTTCTTTTTCTGATTTGTTTGCAACGTTTTTTTTAACCCAGGTCTCTAATTGTGTCTTTTCTTGGCTGCATCTCCTTTGCTCCCACCCCCAAAGCAAGGAGGGCATGTGCTGATTATCTGAGTGTGCAGCCTGCTCACGGGGCATCCTGGGCTCTAAGAATGCCAGGGGGTTAGAAACTGGAGACGGGTGGGGGAATTAATTGCCAAGAAAACACAAGGCTGTGCTGTGACTTTGATTCCATCAATTACCATTATCTTTCTCCGCAGGTCCGCCAACCATCCCCCGGATCCGGCCGTGTTTAACTTTCTTTGCCAGTCGTGATACCCCGTCAGATTTCTGGCGCTGCCACGCCGCCCGCCTGGGCTCCTTCTGGGCTCTTATCAGCCTCTCCCAGTCAGCCTGGCCCGCCACAGCTGTTCCAGGCCCTCAGCCCCTCACTTTATCTGCTAGCACAGACCTCGGCCTGGCAAGCGGTGGGCCCAGCGCCTGCTCCACATTCCCCAGGAAGCCGGCTGGGAACACAGCCGCCCTGCCCTCTGAGAGTTCATTACCAGCCAGGGTACCCCAGCCCATCAGCCAAGGTGCAGGCCGCGCCGCCCAGCCTGGCTGCCGGAGCCGCCTGCGTCATTAAAACTCCAACCTTCTGAAGAGAAGAAAGAACAAAACCACAAATTTAGATTAATAAAGCATTTGTTGATTCTACAGCAATTTAGCAGGCCCCTAAGAAACCCACCAGAGACCCGCGGAGCTCCAGTAATTTTCTGTTATATTATCTTTCTTGTAAAATACTTCCCCAGACAGAGTCCCCGAAGGGGCTCAAATATCACTGTGACTAACCAAAATCAATGTGCACTCACCTATTGACATTTTTACATAGTTTTTGGATTTAGTATCCAGCCGAAAACACAATCAACTCCTCTGCCAAGGAGCCGACAGGCACTTAGCTAGTCAGCTATTAGTGTTACAAAGGGAAAAATGGAAGCACCCAGGGGAGCTGGGCGAGGCGGCACTGACGTCAGGGGGTAATTGGGTGTCTGAGAGAAATTGCCAGCGGCTGGCCGGCTCCCCCGGGGGCCGCACAAAGCTGAGCTGTAACTCTAATAAAGGAAAGGAAATTCTAGAAAAGGGGGCTTTGCTACAAAGGAGCCCAGGCAGACGCCAAAAATAGCCCTTTGGAAATAAATAAATAAATGTGGCCAAAACATCGTCTAAAAAATAAAATAAATCACTGCTCTGTGGAGGCTTTCTGGCCTCACCACCCTGGACATCTGTTTGGGGGCTCCAGGGCTCCCCCAACATCGCTCCCCCACCCCCGTTCTTCCCTGGAACCGCATGGATTTTGATGCTAGAAGGAGGTTTACCATCTGATTTGGCAAATAGGATGGGTTTTCAAATGAATCTAAGTTTGTCGCGCCCTCTTTCCCAAAGGTGGTATCTTCATTGTTTACTTTGAGGCTCACAAGGGAAAGGAAATTTTTATTGTCTGGCTTTTCATTGTTTTGGTGTTTTTGGTTTTGACTTATTTTTGAGTGCTCTTACCATGCCACCCCCACTGGATGAAAACTGAAGGGGCTCTGGCTGCCTGGTTTGGGCCTCCTTTGGAAAAGTCTGTGTTCTTGGGAAGTGGGCTAAATTTTTATCTTATGGCTCTTCCACCCACTGACCCTGAGGCCAAGTGAGGGCCAAAGTCTCCAAGAGGGAGGAGGACAGGAAAACAGTGGACCCCACCCCACAGCACCTCCCGAGCCAGGGCCCCAGGCCAGGATATCAGCCTCCCAGGGGAGTCTGCAGCCCTCAGAAGACAGGATCGAGGGGCTGGGCTGGAAGCAGGGTTTCAAAGCCAAAGACCATCTGAGCCCCAGAGGCTGCCGGGAAATCCAGGCCTCCTTGGTCAAGCAGAAGAGGGTGGCTTGGGGAAAGAGATGGCAAGAATGGGATTCCCAGGGTCAAATTCTATTTCATCGCTTTGAAAGAAAAAGGAAAAAGAGGCCCAGGATTTCAAAAAAAGAAGAAAAAAAGGAAAAAAAAAAAAAAGCAGAACACACTCCAACCCCAAGCTACTTGGAAATTGGTCTGAACAAAGGTCTTCAGCTAAAAATGTCAAATCAGCGCCACAGGGCTCCCTGCCCTCTCTGTCTCCGAGCCCCTGCTGAAGCCCACAGGGCCTGCTGGGAGCAGAAAAGTCCCCTCCTGAGGTCTGCTCAGGGCCCACAGCCCCACCCATCACGACACCCCAGGAGGCACAGTGCTTCCTGACTGGGGCGGAAGGGCAGCTGGAATGCAAGGGGGCTGTTCCTTTCCTGGCGGAACTTCCAGGGTTGGCACCCGGGAGGAAAATCAGGCTGGAGAAAGGAAAGGGATCCTGCAACTCACAGCCCAGGGAGGGGAAGCAATGCTCAGGAACGCAGCCGCCAGCGCCCTGGCACCAAATCACAAACCTTGAATCAATGATGCAATTGCTTAATTAATCAGCCTGCTCGGGGTGGGTGCAGAGGATCTCTGTGAGCATCTGACCCAACCAGCTCCTGATGGGCAAACCCCCCTCCTCAGGCCCCCTCTGCTGGGCCCACGGGACCACAGATGGTTGAACACCGTCTGGGAGTCTCACCAAGGGGGGAAAATGTGAGTTCCAGAATCCCCTGTGTGATCCAGTCACTCTGGCAGAAAGGAGGGAGGAGGCAGGATGAGGGAGGAGGGAGGAGGCAGGAGGCAGGAGGCAGGAGGAGGGAGGAGAGAGGAGAGAGGAGGGAGGAGGGAGGAGGGAGGAGGGAGGAAAAGGGAGGAGGGTCTTATCAGCAACTTAGAATTTCTTGGCCTTGGCTGCTGTAAGTTAGCTCTCTCAATGTTATTTTCTTGTCCCAGTCAATGAGATTGTAATAGAAATAGAGAGGTCTCTTTTCAGCAAGCTAGTAAGTGCCAGATTTAGAAGGAAAAAAGGCAGCTTAAATTAACCCTAAGGCTTAACATTTTTAAGTCTTGTAACTTTTAAAAAAACAGAACTGAAGGTGACTATGCAGGTGGTAGAGGCTGAGATGACTCACCCGTGGAAACTGGTGTGTGTGCGTGTGCGTGCATGGGCACGCGTGTGTGTGTGTGTGTGTGTGTGTGCGTGTGCGTGTGCGTGCATGGGCACGCGTGTGTGTAGGGTGGGGGACAGGAAGGCGCCCCTCTGTCTTTTCAAGACTACTGCAGCAAAATGCTTGCAAAAAAAGTAGCAGGCAGCCTTGATATTTCCTATTCTGACGGCCCCAACCGGCAGCAAGGGTTTGAAACCAGTTCGCACGGGAGATTGGACCATCTCCAAGGTTGATTTTCTCATCTTTAATGCGCAGAGGGGAGGGCAGAGGAGTAGAGGGGAGGGGAGGGGAGCAAGTGGGCCAATATCTCAAACCGACCCCAAATGGTTAATGATAATGAGACAGCAGCGCGCTACAGGAGCTTAACAGCTCTAAGGAAGAGGGGAGACCCGGGAGAGGGGCACGGCAGAGGTGTTTTCAATTACCAAAAAGAAAAATAATTTATTTTTAAACAATACCCCCTCGACACTGGGTGTGTAAAGAGAGCATACTCTGGCCCCTAAAATATCAAAGTGAGATTTAAAAATAGAAAAGTCATTTCCCCCCTTCCCCATTGCAGAATTTACTGTAGCGTTCTAGAAGGCAGATTAAATGAAGGAAGCTCAAACACACTCAATTTTGTCCTTTAGCAAATTCTTCTCTTTCACTCTTGCATGAAGAAAAAAAATCTCCCCACAGAGTTTTTCTCTTCTTCCTGGTGTGGATCTGGGCCCCTGCAGTGCCCTGTGTAATTTCCAGTTCCTCAGAATTCAGGTATTAATAAAGACCCCATGGGGACTTCCAACAATATAACCCTACATTTTGAGGCATTATGAAAGGAAACCCCCAGGGGTCTGTGGCTCAAATTTCTGAAATGTAGGCATTGTAAAAGGCACCCCAGGGGATGCCCGCAATAGAAATCTGCTGAATTCAAAGCATTTTGGAAGTCCTGGTGGGAGTCATTACTCCCACTGGAAGCTTTTTACAAAACATGTGTTGCTGACATGTTGACAGATTGCTCAGTGAAGTGTTTAGGTGCATGCACAAGGCGGGCCTTTGGAGACGCTCACACTGCCAGCGAGTCTCCAAACGCTGGAACCGGTACCATCCGTATTTCATAACAGGGGAGGCCAAGGCAGCCGGGGACGGGAGAAGTGTTCTCCAAATCAGCAGCGAGCCTTGCACCCCTCCGCCGAGGAGTCACTTCGAATGGGCCAGCCCCATCCTCGCCTTTGGAAGCTGGTTTGTGCAGCACAGCTGTGACGGCCCTTGTATCCCTGCCAAGGGCTTTACTGAAGGAATCTTGAGGTGACCTCACTGATCACTGCAAGGCGTCGTGCAGATCAAATCGAGGAGGGGAAAGGGCAGGAGCGGGGGGCTGGCAGGACCCTCATCTCCACCCCCAGCCCTTGAGGAGAGGCTGGATGGCGGGAGGGGGTCGGAACAAGGGGCACGCTTCGTCTTGACAGCGTTAAGCTCAAGAAAGTGATCTGTGACTTTAATAAGGCTGAGAGGCTCCGAGGAATTAGCTGCCTAGGTGATGGGGGCCAGAGATGGATGGAAATGTATTCATGGCCTGGTGGGCCAAGGGCCAGGCTGGGGCCCTGGGGAGGCTGGCTCACCCACAGCCCCACACACTTCCAGGTTCTCATCTGCAAAGGAGTTCCCACAGACCCATGTGTGCTGGAGGAGTGAGTGCCAAGCAGACCTGCCTGTGCACACACACACACACGCGCGCACGCACACACACACACACTCCATGGCAGGATAATGCACCATATGCTCATGTTCATAAAATTTTAAAGGTAAAAGCAGATGTAATTTGATAAATGTGTGCATGTGTTGATACGAACACATGCACCAACACACTCTCGCGCAAGCATGCACACGCCCTCATTCCAGCGCTGGGCCCTCCTCCCTTCTGGGCTCTGCAGTTGCTGCTAGGACTTCCCCACAGGTGCATCAGGACAAGGGAGGCGACCTGCTCAACCACGTTGTGGCCTCTCGAACACACAAAGAAATCTCCTCTAGAAATTTCTTTTTTTGAAAAAATTTATTCTCTTTGAACTGTACTCTATCCATGACGTCAGCTTGGGGTTTTCCTTCACTGAATTTTTTTAAAGCACATGAAGTTAAAATCATTTCTGACTCAATTTAATTTTTAGGCACACGGCATTTAGAATCAGGGATGGAGTGGGGCTTTCCTGGGGCAGGGAAACCATCCACCCAGCCCTACAGTTTTCAAAGACTGTACCTGAATGCTGGATATTTACTTACTCTGGAGCTGGGACCTAAATCCCATCCTCACCCTGGTGGCCCTTCTTGTCTTTTTCGTCCTTTCAGGAGAAAATTGCATTTCAATGGACAAATGGCTCTTCCTAGAGAAGGGTGCATGATTCTACTCTCCCAAGGTCCCTGACAGACTTCTGGTACAAAGGCTCTAGAGAGGCGCCCAGCAGGGCAGCCCCCTGGGGTCAGCCTGGGGCTGACCCAGCAGGGGTGGATCCGGTTCTGATGACGTTATGGATTCCTTCCTACTGGCTGCCTGGGTGAGATGCCGCTAAGGCTTCTGGAGCTGGCTGGCTCCTAGGTCGCCCCAACTCACTAGGCTGGCAGGGGTTGTTTATCTCCCAGTTCCTCTATGCCCCGCCCTGAACCCAATGCATCACCAGCTTGTGCCCAGCCCAGTGCTTTGCAAGTAAGAGATGAACAGGAGCCCTGAGTTGAGTGAAGAGGTGAGTGAAGAAATGGATGAGTGATGCACCCAGGCCATGAATGAAGCTACTGAAGTCTACCCCAGTAGACGCTATTCGGTGCCAGGGAGGAAGGGCGGGTTTCCCCTTCAGAGCAGACTTTGGGGAACCCTGTTCTTCAAAGAAGGCCTGGACGCAGAAAGGGTGACTGAGTCCAGGTCCCAGGGATCCACTTTCCCTCTGAAACACCTTGGCTACACCATGGCCAGAGGGGGAACACAGGAGCAAGAGCATGAAGAACTGAAAAGGAGAAGGGAAGAATCTTCGCTAGAACCCCTTCTAGGGATCTCAACCCCACTCCATGACACGCCTCGAAAACTCCCACTAAACTTGCCACACCTGTAACCAGAAATCCAGATACGTCTTCCATCCTCTGGGTCCCTCAGTCCTGCCCGCAGCGTTCTCACCACTTTCTCCTTAGATGACAGTAACCCAGTGACTTGTCTCAATTTGTCTAGGACTTTCCCAATTTTAGACCTAAAAATGCTACATACGGGGACACCCATTAGTCAGTAAGTCATGAGCAAACTGGGATGGCTGTACCCTCACCCGCAAGACTCTGAGCTCAGTGAGGGCAGGAATCATCACAGAGCCTGATGCGGAGCAAGATGCAGTGAACAAGCATCCCTTCATGCATGCTTGAAGAAATGAAGGCTTTGTTCCCAGCTTCCAATAGGTCTGGAGGAAGTATGAAGGTTTGTGTCTCATTACACACACAGGACAGAATTCCACTCCCATGTAACCGCTGTGCAAAGCGCACACACACCAGATATCCAAAGACCACAACGCCACCTCGGCTGCACTGTGGGCCTTCAAATATGGCTGCTAGAGCTTAGAACCAGGCATGAAAAGTTCCCAGCTTCAAGGGACCTCCACTTCCAACTGGAGTCCCTCCTGCTCATCAGCAGCCCACCTAGCTGGGCTCCCTTCTGGCCTGGAAGCCACTTATGAGCTGGTGCCAACACTGCCACCTCCAGGAGGCCACCCTGTGCACCCACACCTGCCCAGCCCTTCTAGTCTCTTCGCCACCTGCGCTATTGGCCTGCACTTTTAAAGGTTAAATGATAGCAGAGTAAGATGTCAGGTCTTCTTTCTGGGAAAAAGGTGGGAAGGCACCTGGGATGGGAGAAGAAGAAGGCCTTAAATACAGGCTTATCTGGTACATCAGGAGGCAGATAAGAATGCAGGAGAATTCATTTATTCAACAAAGTCAAGGTCTCAGCCCTTCACAAAGCATGCCCGTGGTCACAGCAAGGCGATCACTGGGACAGGGCATGCCCCCTGTCTGACTATAGGGTGCTGTAACACACACCCAAGCACAGCCTCACAATGGAACACTATGAAGCTGATTAAAAGGAGGCCTTCGGACAATATTAAATAATGTGATACGCTGTTTACAACCTACAGGTAAACAAAAACAAAGCAGATTGCAGAATGAGAATGTGGACAGACGAATGCCAGAACGACTCTCTGGATCTCCACGTTATAACTTCATTTTCCTCTTTCACTTCTCCTTACTTAATAGACTTTCCACAGTGAGTTGATCTTATTATTATTTTGAGATGGAGTTTCACTCTCATAGCCCAGGCTGCAATGCAGTGGCGCAATCTAGGCTCACTGCAACCTCCACCTCCCAGGTTCAAGCAATTCTCCTGCCTCAGCCTCCCAAGTAGCTGGGATTACAGGTGCCCACCACCACGCCCAGCTAATTTTTGTCTTTTTAGTAAAGACAGGGTTTTGCCATGTTGGCTGGGCTGGTCTCAAACTCCTGACCTTGTGATCTGCCCACCCACCTTGGCATCTCAAAGTGCTGGGATTACAGGTATGAGCCACTGCGCCCAGCCCCACAGTAAATTTATATAGCAAACATAAAATAAGAAAAATGTATTTTGAGAAACAAGGGAGTGTCCAAGTGCTCCAGTGCTCCTGAGAGCCCCAGAGAAGGCACGTGGACGACCATCTGTGTAGAGGTCAGGGAAGGCTGCTGGGAAGACCCGAGGACAGAGTGGCTTTACAGGGAAGCATACTGCAGGGAGGTGTCCCATGCAGGGAGAACAGCGTGGGCAAGGGCACCATATACTTCAAGGGCAAGGGCAAGGTGGAGAGTGGTGATACAGCCTGGAAAACAGGGATAGACATAACCATGAATGGCCACCCTAGGAAAAAAGGTGAATTTTGGTTTCATGGGCATTGGAGGCTGTCATCTCTCAGAACTGACCCCTCACCACTCCCCATCAAAGGTGAGGCCAGTTTGACCTGAAGAACTAGTTTCCATCTAACAATTGGACCCTCCATAATATGGGCAGGACTGTAGTCCCAGAAGGATAGAGGCTTCAAGTTCTCACCCCAACCAGCTGCCTGGCTGATTAGACAGACACACTAGAACCAGTCCCATCCCTGGGCACCAGCACTGACCCTCCAGTCCTATGCTCTAAAGGGGGTTCGCTGCCTTATGGGGGCCAGGGCATGCTGCCCCACCATCCACAACAGAGCCAGGTGTGAGCTGGGCCCAGGGCCACCCCACTGCCTGGAGGCAGACTTCCAGCCACTGGTGGGATGGCTGCCACCAAACGCAGAATCCAGGTGTCAGAAGGAAATTAAAACAAATGACCCTGCCACATTTTTTATCATCCATTCATAAAAATTACAAGAGCAACATGGAAGAAAAATAGGTCACTTCAGTGAGATTCACAGTGACTTAAAAATCTAAACATCACCCGAAGGTCTTCTGTCTCCATCTGGCTTCAAAAGGCCAGGTTTGCCTGACCCAGAAAGAAAAGAGAAAGTCCAGAAACCCAGACGAGAGTGAGATAATGGTCCTGGGCACCGATGACCCAAGGGCACCTTTGGCCTCACATGGCGGGTGGTCCCAGGACCCATAACTTCCAGCCAGGAAGGAGAAACCTATAAACAAACCCCCAGGACAACCCACACACCTGCCCATGCTCTCCACAGCAGCCGAGGGATCTGTTACAAACACACATCAGATCATGTCACCCTTTGGCTCACCTTTTCCAATGGCTTCCCAATGGGCTTAGAATAAAATCCCCATCCCTTTCCATGGCATGCAAGGCCCTGTGTGATCTGGCCCCAGCCCCATGCCATGCCCTTATCTCACCACTCCCTGGGTACCTACCCCTGTCCCTGCCAATCTCCCCACTCCCTGTGTTGCCTCTGCTTCCCCAGGGCCTTTGCACGTGCTCTCCCCACTGTCTGCAGCACTCTCCTCACTAGCCTCCACCCACTTACCTCTTACACATCTCAGACCCAGGGCCAAGACATGGGGAGACCCTATATACACAAAGGAGCATTTGCCAGGCGCAGTGGCTCACACAGATAATCCCAGCACTTTGGGAAGCCAAGGTAGGTGGATCGCCTGAGGTCAGGAGTTCAAAACCAGCCTGGCCAACATGATGAAACCCCATCTCTACTAAAAATACAACAGAATTAGCTGGGCATGGCGGTGTACACCTGTAATCCCAGCTATTTGGGAGGCTGAGGCAGGAGAACTGCTTGAATCCAGGAGACAGGTTGTAGTGAGCCAAGATCACACCACTGCACTCCAACCTGGGCAACAGAGTGAGAATCCATATCAAAAAAAAAAAAGCACTTACCTTACTCATAATCCAAAATAAAAAACACTAAATTATAAAACAACTATTTAAAAGCCTTAATAAAATTTACTTATTCATCCTCTAATGCTTAGAAAAAATATTAGTGCCCTAAGCACTTCCTTATAGATTTGCAGATTTTTTTTTATATATAGAGAGGCTGGCTCTGTCTCCCAAGTAGTACAATGGTACAATCTCAACTCACCACAACCTCTGCCTCCCAGGTTCAAGCAATTCTCCTGCCTCATCCTCCTGAGTAACTGGGATTACAAGCATGCACAACCACACCCAGCTAATTCTTGTATTTTTAGTAGAGACAGGGTTTCACCATGTTGGCAAGGCTGGTCTCCAACTCTGATCCGCCTATCTCGGCCTCCCAAAGTTCTGGGATTATAGACATGAGCCACCATGCCCAGCTCTTCCTTGCAGATCTTAGCTCCAACTCCACCCCCTCAGGGACGCTCCCTGCCATCCTCCATTGCCCATGACCATGCAGATCCGACACGGGCTACCTCACAGCCTTTCACAGGCCACGGACATACCTTCTGCTAGAAGCATTTATTAGGCTGTCATTTTCCCACTGCTTGTCTGACTGTTGGACTAATGTCTGTTCACCCCAGCACACCCTTAGCTCCAGGGTAAGAACAAAGCCTGCCTCCTCCTGCTTCAGCACAGGGCCTGGGACATAGCAAGTGCTCAGTTAATATTTGTTGAATGAATGAATGAATGAATGAATGAATGAATGAATGAATGAATGAACTAATAACTTCATGAATAAATGGAGGGGTAAGGATTCACATTACAAACTCAGTCTTCAGTGAAACCGAAGGATCCATTGCTGAGCTCCTAGGAAGAGCCAGCTTCCCTAAGGAATTCAAATAGTTCTTTCAGCAAACATTCACAAGACACCTACTATGTGTCAGGGCCCGAGGACATAAGAATGAACAAGACAGGCCTTATGCTTCAGCAGCTCGGCCCAAAAACCGACAGATGTGTGGAAAACTCAAACATTCAGCAGCCTTTTTATAAGAAAACGGAGGTTCAGAGCCCTAGGGGAAAGCCAAGGAAACAGAGCTGACTTCAGAAGGCACCATTATTTCCTGCCTCTCGTCTTCCCCAACCATCCTTCCAGGTCAGGACGCTGCCATCCTCAGCAGGTGCCAATGCGGCTGGGTGTAGCAGAGGCACAAATCTGACTCCTGAAGCAGGGGTTTTTCACAATGACATCCTCTTAGTGCCCAAGAGGCTGCCTTTCTTTGATGCAAGACACGTTTATCAAGTTCCTATACCATGCCAGGCACGATGCCAGCCACTCAGGATATAGAAACTACACCATGGTCCCTGCCCTCAACAGGGGGTACATCTAGTTCAGCAACTCTCAGCCAGGGCAGCACCACCCTTCAGGAGCATTTTTCAAGTGCCACTGCTCTTGTCTGAATGTTGATGTTCCTCCAAAATTTGTATGCTGAAACCTAACCAAGGTGATGGTAGTAAAGGGTAAGGCCTTTGGGTGATTAGATCATGAGGGTGCCATCCCCATGAGTGGGATGGGTTTCCTTATAAAAGAGCCCCAAGGGAGCTTGTGAGTCTCTTTTTGCTCTGGCACCAGAGGGCACATAGAAAGCTTCATCTATGAGTAGTGGGCCCTCACCAGACACCGAATCTCCTGGCACGTTGATCTTGGACTTCCCAGCCTCCAGGACTATGAGCAATACATTTCTGTTGTGTGTAAATTACACATCGGTCTCGGGTATTTTGTTATAGCAGCCAGAGCAGACTGAGGCAGCCACAGTAATCAGGGAGGTTGCTACTGGCATCTAGTGGGCAATGCCAAGGATGCTGGATGTCTGGCCAAACAAGGAAGGAATAATCTTCAGAACTGTTCCTCAGCTCCATGCCACACCACAGTGGAGACTCTAGCACAAATCTTTCAGCTGAAAATAAATCAAGAAACTCGCCCTTGAATTGCACACAGTTGCTGGAGAACAGCAAGCCAAAAGTGCAAATCCTCATCATCATCATCATCATTGATAGTCTGAAGAGATGACCTGCTCGTCATGTCCAGCTTTGGACCCTAGAAAAACTCAGCTCTCAACCAAAACTCTTCTTCCACACTCCCCAGGTCCTCCCTGCCTACATAGTTGGCCTATCCTTCCTAGAGTCCTGCTACTTAAGTTCAGTAGCATCTGTAGCCCCTGGGAGTTTGTAAGAAATGTAGACTCTTCACCACCCCAGGTCTGTCCAAGTGGAACTGCATTTCCACAAGACTCCAAGTGATCATAAGGACCTAAGGGCCTGAGAAGCACTGCCTGAAGCCACTCCAGGATAGACTCTGGCACTTTCTGCTCAAAGGTCACCAGGCAGCAGAAGTGGTGAGGAAGGCTCCACCCCCTCATCCTCTCCACCCCCTCTATCCTCTCCACCTCCTCCATCCTCTCCATCCTCACCAACCCCTCCATCCTCTCCACCTCCTCCATCCTCTCCATCCTCTCCACCCCCTCCAGCCTCTCCACTCCCTCCATCCTCTCCACCTCCTCCATCCTCTCCATCCTCTCCATCCTCTCCACCCCCTCCATTCTCTCCACTCCCTCCATCCTCTCCAACCCCTCCATCCTCTCCACCTCCTCCATCCCCTCCATCCTCTCCATCCCCTCCATCCTCTCCACCCCCTCCATCCTCTCCACCTCCTCCATCCTCTCCATCCTCTCCACCCTCCATCCTTTCCACCCCCTCATCCTTTCCACCCCCTCCATCCTCTCCACCCCCTCCATCCTCTCCACCTCCTCCAACCTCTCCATCCTCGCCAACCCCTCCATCCTCTCCACCCCCTCTATCCTCTCCACTCCCTCCATCCTCTTCACCTCCTCCATCCTCTCCATCCTCTCCATCCCCTCCATCCTCTCCAACCCCTCCATCCTCTCCACCTCCTCCATCCTCTCCATCCCCTCCATCCTCTCCACCTCCTCCATCCTCTCCATCCTCTCACCAATCCCTCCATCCTCGCGAACACCTCCATCCTCTCCAACTCCTCCATCCTCTCCACCTCCTCCATCCTCTCCATCCTCTCCATCCTCTCCATCCCCTCCATCCTCTCCAACCCCTCCATCCTCTCCACTCCCCCCATCCTCTCCACCCCCTCATCCTCTCCACCCCCTCCAACCCCTCCATCATCTCCACCCCCTTATCATTTCCACCCCCCCATCCTCTCCACCCCCTCCACCCCGTTCATCCTCTCCACCCCTTCCACCCCCTCCATCCTCTCCACCCTCTCCATCCTCTCTACACCCTCCATCCTCTCCACCCCCTCTATCCCCTTCACCCCCTCCAACCTCTCCATCCTCTCCACCCACTCCACCCCCTCTATCTTCTTCACCCTCTCCAACCCCCCATCCTCTCCATCCTCTCCGTCCTCTCCATCCTCTCCACCCCCTCAATCCTCTCTACCCCCTCCATCCTCTCCACCCCCTCCATCCTCTCCAAGCCCTCCGTCCTCTCCATCCTCTCCACCCCCTCCATCCTCTCCATCCTCTCTACCCCCTCTATCCCCTGCACCCCTCCAACCCCTCCGTCCTCTCCACCCCCTCCAACCTCTTCATCCTCTCCAACCCCCCATCCTCTCCACCCTCTCTGTCCTCTCCATCCTCTCCACCTCCTCCATCCCCTCCACCCTCTCCATCCTCTCCATCCTGGTGAGATGGCATAGCACCTCCATGCAGAGCAGCCAGGTGCCACCAGAATGACAATGACAGGTGGTTTTTAATGGTGGGAAAACAACAGAGGGGACCTCCACAACAAGCCAAACACGTGTCTAGCCTTAAGGAACCCACCTGGGGAAGATTCTCCTTTATGCCCTATAACTGTCGAGAGGTGACAACACGTGGCAGTCTAAGGCACTCTTTTATTCCCAAGGGGCTTGGCAGCCTGGGAGGACCAGCAATGAATGTAAAATGAGGCTGTAATGTCTCCCTCAGCACCATACAACCCCTGTGCCCCATCTGCTGGCTTCACTTGGGGACATGGGGCTCTGATCCAAGTCTCATTTCAGAGTTTCTCTCCCAGCTGCACGAGAAGCTGCTGGGTAGGCAGGTACTAACTCCCCTCTGTGGACCCCTCAAGACCCAAAACTGGCACAGTATGTAAAACCAAGTCGGTACTAGTGGAGTGGGGTGCAATGGGACAGGATAGGATGGAATGAGAGGGGTGGGATGGGATGAGTAGGGTGGGTGGATGAAATGGGATGCAATGGAACAGAACAGTTAGAATGAAGGAAACAGAATGCCATAGACGCTGGGCACAGCGATGCCCCTTCTCCTCATCAACCACGGAAAAAAGTGTTCCTGCAGGGAGACATGTATAAGAATGTTTACTATAGCAAACAACTGAGGCACCCTACATGCCCACCGCTGGGGCTCGCCTGCATAAAGCAGGGGCATCCACGCTACGCAACGCCTCACAGCAGTTAACGTGGAGTAGGGAGATGTATCCACTGACGTGAGAAGCTCTCTCAGGCCTAGTACTAAACAGAAAAAAGCAAGTTGCAGAATGATAAATCCAATATGGTATCATTCACTTTTTAATCAAAAATCAATACGACATCATTTCTATGGCTACACATAACACTATATTTCACTGAACATAAGACTCTGTGGATGGTAAAATGCACCATTAGTTTATAAAACACTGAAAAAGGAAAACAAAAAACACTGTGAATTAAACCATGACAAGCCACTAGTTGAAAGATGCATCTTGATTTCAGAACTGTTAATGTCTTAGAATCTATGAAATATGGTATTACGTAAAACTGTAGTAGAAGGTCTTGAATCAAGAAAGCCAAATGATAATAACAGTAGTTGAGCTGGGAGGAGTGGGGACAGCATGAAGCCTTATCTGTGATCTTTGAAATGTTCACAAATAGAATATATTTATGGCTGGATGCAGTAGCTCATGCCTGTAATCCCAACACTTTGGGAGGCTGAGGCTGAAGGATTGCTTGAACCTAGGAGTTCAAGAGCAGCCTGGGCAACATGGTGACACCTCGTCTCTAGAAAAAATAAATAAATAATTTAAAAACTATCCAGGAGTGGGGGCACGCACCTGCAGTCCCTGACACTTGGGAGGCTGAGGCAGGAGAATCGCTTGAGCCCAGGAGGCTGCAGTGAGCTATGTTCATACCACTGTACTCCAACCTCGGCAGCAGAGCGATACCCTGTCTCTATTGAAGGAAAAGAAAAGAAAAGAAAGAAAAGGGAAAGGAGGGGAGGGGAGGGGAGGGGAGGGGAGGGGAGGGGAGGGGAAGGGAGGGGAGGGGGAAGGAAGGGAACATTTATATATTACTGTGATATTTGATCATGTTCAATTGTTTTAAAATAATGAGAGAAGGCCTTGTCTGCTCCTCACTTGCAGGTGAGGTGATGCTGATAACATAGGAGTCTGCCTTGGTCACAGAAGGAATGGATGCCACAGTGCTAACGCAGGGTGGGGCTTGCGTGCCTGAGCCGATGGGGTGCCACAAAGCTTTGTGAAGGGGAGAAAAAAAGCTCTTAGGAATGTCCAGTGGCGAACGTGCCACTGGAAAAAAAAGAAACGACAGGAAGAGAATTTGATTTGGGGAAACAAACAATTCATAATCCACTCATAGAGGGCTACTCGGGGGCTGAGGGTTGGCCCCAAAACGGCTCCTCCATCTCCCCTTGCTGCTCTCTGCAAAAGCAGTTGGAAAGTCATAATGCCATCCTGAATGCATCCCTCGCAAGGGACCGCCTCAGACTCAAGCTTCTAATTCCACCTTAATATCCAATTCTGTGTGTCGGGGACGGCTGAACCTCGGCCTGCAGCCGCCGCGTCACCTTGCCATGCACACAAATAAAAATAGCCTTGGTGCTCAGAGCACCGGTTCCCTTGTCTTATCCTCTGGGGGTCCCGGGAGCGGCGCGATCCGCGAATGGAAACCACGTGTGATAGAAATACATAATGAACAAAGAGGCTCCGCAGATGCATCCTTGACCTTCCTGCTTTTCCTTGACTTCTCCGCTGCCATTGTCCCTATGAAGCCACAAACAGAATGACACCATTGCACAGTGACAGCGACAGAATACCTTCCATTGCCAATTTCTCCAAAAGTTAAACAGATTTGATCAGAATAACCCATTCACGTTGCCATTTATGCAAATAACAAAGTTTTGGCAGCTCAGGCCTCCATTTGAACAGCTCCACCTGCCAGGTGGTGGGCCTCTGGTCTGACAAATTTGCTCCTCTGCATCGTCATTTGCGGCCTTACAGAGCAAGACCAAAGTGCTGACAACTGGCTTGTCCCAGGAAAAAGGACCACCAAGAGCTAAAAGCCCACAGCCACCTGACATAGACTCAGGGTCCAGGAGACACACCCACTCCCCCACACAAATCACACAGGAAACGGCTATAAATGGGGGCTGATCTCCAAATTGGGACTCCTGAGCATTTGCTCCTCTTCAGGATCTAAGAGAGCCTGGGGAGTCGGGTGGGTACAAAGGGTTTTTGCCACTGTCCCCTCCAGATCTGCCCCCACGTTGATTCATTCCTGCTCTGTGTTCCTGCAGAGACTGCAGTGGGGGAGAAGACAGAATCAGGGTATTTACTCTCCCAGCCTCTGCTCTCCTGTGGCAGCCTCCCTCAAGCCACTCTCTTCAAGTGGCCTGAACGCCCCTCCCTGAGCCCTGGCAGGCTCTCAGGATGATGCTCCACTCCCCAGCAGCTCCCCTTCTTCCCCTGCCCGCCTCTGCAAATGGGTCCTCTATTAAATGTGCCTCCATTTCCCTGTTTGAGCACGCCATCTGTTTTCTGCTGGGACCTTGACTAAGGGGATATCCTTTAAACAATTTTTAAGCAAATATGTCTGCAAGGTGTTTGCTGAGACTGTGATAGAAAGGCATTTGAGGAAGCGGTGTGAAAGATACCCTCTGTGAAACCAGAGAGACAGAAAGTCAGTCATCAGACATGCAGACCCAGAGAATGTGGTCGGAGAGCAAATCTTCCCAGTAACTTACTCCCACGTCGCCGGGGCCCCTTCCCTACCCTGTGACCTGGCTCTGCGGAGTCCATGACCGGTGCCCTTCTCTCTGCAACTCTGTCACGCCTCCCACAGAGCAGACAAGTCAGCCCGGCAGTGTGGTAAAGCAAGGAGAGAGTGAACCCACAGGCACAGTCGCTTCTGAAGCCCAGCTCCGGGTCTCTTGCTTACCATCTGCTCCTCAAATCCCACCCCAGAGCCTGGACATCTTCCTGCATTCTGCAGAACAGCTCATTCTCCCAGGAGACCATGGGCTCTGAAGGGCAGGAGCCAACTGTGTTTATTCATCACCTTGCACATGACAGTATGATACCATGAT